ACATAAATTATTTTTATATAGTAATTTATGATATATGAATAATATATTAAAATTTTCATCTAAAATTGATATATGTACTATTAAAACTTTTTTATTTTTTAATCAATTAATAAAAAAATTTTATAATATTATAAATAAAATTATTTATCTATTATAATAAAATGTTAAAATATTATATTTATTTTAAAAAAATATACTTGTATATATAATAAAGTTTACTTAGATGAATTAAAATTTATTTAGATAGTACAAAAATACAAAATTTAATTGGCTAATTTATGTAAACCTATTAGTTAATTTTATTATATAATTTTATATTCTAGTTTTTAAAATTTTATATCTCAATGAGTTTTTAACTAATTTTAATAATTTTACTATTATTAGAATTAGAAAAATCTATTTTACAACTTTTACTTAATTATTAAAATTAGTTTACTTAATATAATTTTTATAAAATTAAATATAAAAAATTTACTATTAGATTTATATATAATTTTAAAGTACTGTTCTCTATTTTTTTAAAGTATAAGAAAATAACAATAAGCTAAATTGCATATATAAACAATATAATAATAATATTTAAACTAAGCTATATATTACAATTAATAAAAATGTCAGACAGAAGTTTAAATAAAATATACTAACTAATAATAAGTCTGATGAAACAAAAGAGCAACTTGCAAAAAATAGTAGAAAACTGCATATTAGAACACAAAAATCTTGGCAACTGTAAAACATTACAACAAGAATTAATTATGAAGCAAGTAGATAGTCTTTTAATAAAATTAAAAAGACAAGACAGTCTTGAACAGTTAACAAAATTGAAAATAATACAAGGCAGTTAAAAAACAGGTTTGGAAAAAGATATATGAAAGACAAAAGAGATGCTAAAATCAAAACATGTTTAAAGAACAACTTAGCATATCTTATAATACTCAAAGTAAGAAAATTAAATATAAATATAAAAACAGAAAGCAAACTATAGACAATATTTAGATATAGTACTAAAATATAAGAGCTTGTAGATATATATTTATAAAAAAAAAAGTAGTTAAAGTAAATAAAATAGGTCTAATATATCTAAATTAGCTGCTTGATACAAAGAAAAAAAACTGATTACATAATAGGAACTAAAAAACTATCAAGTAAAGGAAAAAAAGCAAAGTAGTTCAAAGTAATCAAATCAAAAATTTTTAATAATGTAGAAAGTAGAAAAGTACAAAGATATTTTAAAATAAATAAACAAAATATTTAGGCAATGTAAGTTAAATGAAAACATATATCTAAAGATAGAAAAAGGAAAAAATGAATAGTATATAAAGTATAAAATCACAGACAGCTTGAAAAGATAATTAAAAAAAAAAAAATATATTAATTAAATACTAAAAACTGCAGAGCAAAAGGAATGAATTAGCAATTAAGATTAATAGATGTAAAGGATGTCTAAGAAAAGAAGAACAAATAGAGAATAGTTACTAACAATAAATAAGAGTAAATAGAAACATTAATATAATTTCAGATACATTAATAAAAAAGATAGCAATTAAATCTAAATAGCAATAGACCAAATAACAAACAAGATAGAGACAAACAGATTAGAAATCAAAAAGCAAAAGCTTAAAGGTCTTATAATAATAGAAAAGTTAAAGATAGAAGTTATTAAATGACAAAAACTGAAGAAAAATATTAGTTAAGAAATAATAAAAGTTCTAAAAAGAAATATTATAAGAAATAAGAACAAATATACAATATACACAAATAGAGTAGCTAATATAAAAACCAATAAAAAACTAGCATCTAAAAATAATATGGGTATAATATAAGTTTAAATAAATAAAACACAAGAATAGCCAGAAGAAGAAATAACACTTGAACTAAAAGGATGGCAAATATTAACAATAGCAAAGTTGGTAGCAATTTTAAGTAGCAATCTTAATAATACCAAAAGAAAAGCAAATAAAGATATATACAGATAATAATACTGCAATAAGAAATATTAGTAGAAGTTTGAAACAAGCAAACAGAAACAAGATTATTAAAAAGAAGAATGCAATATAGATAATGAAGATTAAAGACCTTATCAAGACAAAAAACATTCAGATAAAGTTAATTAAAGTAAAAAATTATAGCAAAATAAATGAAATAATAAAGCTAATAGTCTAGTGAAGAAAAAACAATGAGTAAAAAAATAGTACAGGCCAAAAAAATTAGTTGTAAAAAGATAGAATACTTCCTAGAGTAGAAAACAGATAGACTAATAAGACTGTTTTGCAAGTTAGTTATGAATACAAAACTAAGAGCAGAGTGAAAAAAAATAAGAATGATTAAAGACTTAAAATCAAAAACAAAAATCACAATTTATAATTAGATCTACTTTTGAAAAAGACTAAAGATAACTAAGAAAATATACTGTATAACAAGAAGTAGTTTCAGAAGAAGCTTATTTATTAAATATATAATAAATAAACTTTCAACTTTAGAAGAATACAACAAAAGAAGACCAGATATATTTATAACAATGAAATGCCAAGTATGCCAAGATAAAGTAAAAAAAATACAAGTATATTTAACAGTATGCAAAAGGCAGAAAAATTTTTAGAAAAAAATCTAAAAGTAACTATCATAATAGCATAAAAAAGACTGAAAGAAGAAAAAAAAATTCAGATTTTTCTATATGTGTTATATATAACACTCTTTAAGAAAACAGAGATAGAGGAAGTAAAAATGTAAGAAGCATTAATTAAAATTTTAATTTCAAATAAAATACAAGACAGATTAATATAGTTTTTAAATACAAAATCAAGACAGCAGTTTATAAATATAACAGTCTAAGATACATTTTATAAACAAGTATAAAGAATATAATATGAAAAAATTAATAAATAAAAGAAAAAAATTGAAATAATAAATAGAATAAAAAGAAGAAAAAAAGAAAAACTAAAGAAACTAAGCAAAAAAGAAAAGGCAAATTAACAGAAAATAAAAGAAAAAAAAGAGAATATAAAAGAAAAAATGAAACAAGTTAAGAAAGAAGTAATAAAAACAATGTTAAAGCTTGTTATAAAAGAAAGAAAACTCTTCTATTATAGATTTTAAGTAGTCAAACAAGCAGCTTACTTTTGTTTAAAGTAATGTAACAGGTTGCACTTAGGTACTATTAAGATGGTCAAGTAATGCTAAACTTAGATATTAGAAATATTTATATAGTTACAAATGTAATTTTAAAATCTTAATAAAATACTAGTATAACTGTTTATATTATAAAAAAAAAAAAAAAACACTATTACTAAGAATTTGAATTTGCTACTAAGACTTTTATGATATATACAAGTTAGTTTTTTTAAAATAATTTTATTATAATAAATAAACTATTTTAATTTATATATTCTAAAAATTAATAAAAATTTAATATAGCCTCACCATTAATATTAAAAAAAAATAATAAAAATTTATATATTTTTTAAAAAAATTTTATTAGTAACATATTTTTATTTGCTAAATTTACTGCACAGATTATATAACAAATAATTTATATGTACTTTACTTTTAATTTTAAATTAATTAAATTCAAAAAAGATTTTTAAAAAATTGTCTTTTTATTAACACTTAGTCATATATAAATCAATAACTTATAATATTGAAATAACAATACTAAACCATATCAGTAGTGTTTAACTTGGGTAATCTAAACTATAATAAATAGTGTTAGGCTAATTAGACCAATTTGACCAATGGCCAGTCCGGTCAAACATTTTAAACATTGGTCAAATTAGTCAAGTCGTTTAGTTATAAGAACCAATTGACCAATTAAACTAATGTAACTATAATCAAATTTATTTATTTGTTTGATTATTAATTTGGTTCATATTGCTAAACCATTTGACCAATTTGATCAGATCAGAAATCTTTTGATCAATGATTAACAAAATTTATAATTAACAACTAATTTGACCAACACTAATAATAAAATTATATGTTTAAGTTTTGATTAGAGATGCTAACAATTTTTACTTAGTATATTTAGCATTGATTATTTATTTAGTTTTCAAAATATAGTGACTGTGGCATTGAACGCCACTGGTGTAATTTAGTGAAACTGTAAAACAATTCAAATAATTATTTAAATATAATTTATTAAAGATTTTGTAAAATTTTAATAATTATTGAAATTATTAAATTTATTAAAACTATTATTATTAGACATTTTTGAAATTGTTTTTTTATAAGGTCATTTAAGAGTCTGTTATATTAAAGAAATTATAAAATTTAATAAAAAAAAATAATATAAAAATCATCAAATTTTGTGTAAAAAAAAAAAAAATCCAAATAAAAAAGAATTAAAAATAGAACTAAATGAAATGATATTTATTTGCAGATTTTTAGTTTTTAATTTAAATAATAGAAAGCAATAAATACAATAATAGAATGCGATAAATACTATTACGAAAGTATGTTTTTTAAATATTTAATATCATTATCTCGAATTTTGATAAGGATCATACAATACTCTTTCTAGAAATACAGGGTCTTTAATTTCAACTTTATTTTGCATAAAAAGGTAATCTTATTTGAACTTGATATAAATTTAGATATCATTTTACTTAATACATATAATTCAAGTCTTATTATGTATTTCAATGCCAATTATAAAATGAAGCTATAAAATATTTATCAATACAGAATTTTAGAAGCTTTTTGAGAAAGCTGTATCTGAAAAGCTCTTGCAGCCATGTTAAGATACTACAAGTCTAATATGGTCCTAACCAATATAAATACTAACGGATATAATCGTTTAAGAAATTAGAAGTATATATTAATTTTCAAGTATATAAAATATTTTTAGATACAAATATTAACATTTTAGACCTTACAATAAAGTCAAAAAAAGAGTAAATAATAGTAGATTCTTAACAGCTAGTTAAAATAATAATTATACAAAAACAAATCCTTAGAAAAAGATGCTTTATAAACATTATAATAATACACCCACTTAAAAAATATTATCCCATTCCACAGATGGCTAGATCTCTCATTTTTTGTAAAACGGCCTCAACTTTATTGTCAACTTGTTCATTATCAGAAAATTCTTCTTGCAAATTATTCAATCCTTCATAACTTTCTTGACAAAATCTGAGTTGTATTTTTACCAATGCTTCAAATGTAGGGTTAAAATATGGTACTCGAATATCTATTAATCTAGGTAATTCATTAACTAGCTGAGTATTCAATGATTCGTATATCTCACGAGCTTCATTAGCAGCTTGTTCGGCCTGTATCCAAATTAATAGAATTCATATAATGTTTATCACAAATGCGCAAAAAAAAAAGATATATAAATACCCTTGGTAGTTTATTAGCATCATCAGATGGCTTATCAACTAGTTTGCGTACTTTGGCACGCTGTGAATCATAATCTAAAAGTTTTTTATCCCGTTTTTTAATGGCATCATTTATATCCGGAAAATAAGCGCAAAATCGACCTATAGGCTCAGTTACAGTTTGACGGTATGGTTCGTCCTATAAAATAGGATGTCAACAATATATAAAATCAGTATTGTAAATCAGAGAAAGTAAATACTAACCAAGTAGTCACGACAATCTTGCTCAAGACTTTCTATAGCTTTCTTGTATTTCTTCCCGGCCAATGAATTATCAGTTGAATCTTCATAAAAATGTTCAATAGTTTCTGCTATACGTGATTGTGCACTAGATATAGCTATTTTATATAAATATGATTAAAATTTCAATAAATAAATGGGATAAAAATGGATTTTTAAATATTAAATGCTAACCGCGTAAAGAATCTAAGTATCCTTTCGCCTCTTTATGTAATTTCTCGCTTTTTGACTCAAGACTAAACATAAAATTGGCTTTATTTAAATATATTATCGAATAAAAATGTCACAATCAAATTAACGAACCTTTTAAATCGACGTTCTTCTTCTTCGAAACTTTTATCAACCTAGAAAGACATGTGGTGAATGACACTAACTTCTTTCACTCCCTTAGAATTAAATATAGAATCTTACTGTTTTTTCGATCGAGCCAACGGTTTGCAGAAACTGTTCGTGTAGAAATATATTTGTTAGTTGATTTTGAAATACAATAGCGGGTACTTAAGTAATGTTATAACATACCCTAGTTCCTGTGCGATCTAATTTCTTCTTAAAACCCGCCCTAGTTTGTTTTTTTATAAAATTAAAAAATTAACGGTGCCCGATCTATTAGCGATAAATCTTTTCAATAATTCTTACCAGCTCATTTTTTATAATAATCTAAGTGTGAAGATGCTATACGTAGTCAACAAAGATAATTCGATAAATATTGTAAAGAAGCTATTTTGTGTCAGTTCGTTATGTTGTGGTCACCGCTAGGGACCTCAGTTTTGTGCGATGCGATGCGATGCGCATAATAGGTCAATTTTTAGCATCGCATGTGCGAAGCATAATTTGACCCAAAATCGCATAATCACAATTGGCGCCTTCTGATTGGTCAATTTTAATATTTTTTTTTTATACGTTATAAAAAAAAAATCAAATTAGCATAATTTTTTTTTATTACATTGAAATTTTCAAAAAATTCCAAGTATAAACTTGACTTTTATGCTAGTGGTGGAAAACTTTTTTGTCAGGCATGTGAAATCATAGTAAATCATGTAAAAAAGCCTATGATTGATAATCATTTAAAATCAGAAGGGCATAAGTTAAAAACTCAAAAACCTGTACAATCTACTTTACATCGAGTCAGAATAAAGTTTTTTTACCAAAATTCTGATATCAAAAAAGTTTTTATTAAAGATTTTTTTCAAGTGTTTGTTCAAGTTAATATACTTATTGAAAAAGCAAATATTTTAAATTATTTTTAATGCATTATTGTAAAAATGGTAATTAATTTAAATAATTATATATATATATTTTAATTTAATTAATTAATGTAAATATTTATTTATAAGTAATGTTATACCTAGATCTGAACAATTATATATTAAATATATATATTTTTTTTTTTGGTGTTAAGATGACCTTTTGGGTTTTTTGACTTTATTTAACAATGATAAATATGGTTCAGTGAATCATTACAAAAAGAGCATACAATTGGTTACATGTGTAACTTTTCTATATTATCTATTTAAGGAGTTTGCCTAAAGGTTCTCTACTAATTGTTATATCTAACACTTCTGCTTGGGTATTCTACTTTAAATCTTCTGAACCTGCAAATCTGTTAACTTTACTGGATCATATCTGATGCTTAGATTATCATCTTAATCTTAGAATTATTTAAAATCTTTGTTATAAAATTTTTTTATTAAAAATAGATTTATTATGATTTTTCTAATTAAAATTTTGTGTTATGTAACTATTTTAAATTATTAATAAAGATATAAGCAAGGCCTCACCTTAATACCAAAAAAAAAAAAAAAAAAAAAAAAAATTAAAATTTTATGTAATAATAACTTGAAAGATTATTTTATTAGCAAAACTCTTATTTTATTCTTGAGATAAACCCTCTAGAGCCTTTTGTACCTATTTTTATAGTTGATCTAGATATTATTATTATAGTAGAACTAATACTTGTCTGACAAGGTTTAATCATTAAACTGCTATGCCTTTGTAGAGTTCACTTAGATCCTAGTATCTACTTCATAGCATAACTCTAATTTTTTAGTATACACTTGTCTTTTTATCTGTCTTTTTATCAAACTTCAATTTTAAATAACTCATATAGAACTATGACCAGTAGAGGCCTATGTTGGGTCCTGCAACCTAGGCTTGAAGTAAAATTTTATAATTGCAAGCCAGACTGGGCCAAAAAATTTGAAAACTTTATAATTGCAGGCCAGTGCAGACCTAAAAATTTGTAAAATTATATAAGAAATTTTTGTGAACCAGGCCAGGTTGGGCTGGGCTGAAGAAAAATTTAACATATATGGGCTGAGCCAGGCTAACAAAAAAATAATATTCCTAAATACAAGCTGGACCAGGCCTAAAAAAAATTATTAACCCTAATTGCAGACCAGGCTGGGCCTCAAAAATAGGCAATTTGCAGGCCTTTAATGACCAGTCTATTAGTATATTAGATCAGTCTAATATTCTTTTTTTTTAATTTATTCTAGCAGCCTAATTGATAGTATCTCTGAAACTCCTAACTTAAAGGTTCTTGTCTATTCAGCTACTAAGATTAGGTACTATAATCTTGGTATCTATTTCTTCAGTCTAGTTTTTACAGTAGGGTCATCAAAGATCTAGCTATCTCTCTACTTAAATCTTTCCAAATGGACTTCTTGTTATCTAATTTTAATAGATTATATGATTACAAGGACTTATTTAATGCTTGCACTATCTAATTGCCAGTTTGCATTCCTTTGTATTACTACAAACCTTGTTTCTAAGAACAATGTCACATGATCTGCCAGTTATACTAGTGTAATCATCATTACAAGTATCCTACCTAATTGTTAGTAATAGTTGTTATAATACAAATATTACATAGATGATTATCCAAATTTTTACTGTCAATAAGATTTAAACACTCAATCTACTACTTGGAGGGTTAACAACCTGACTAGTTTACTAGGTTAACATACTTTATCTTTTTTTTTATATCAAAAAAAAGAAACAAAACTTAAAAATAAATTAAATAATCAAAAAATCTGTATTATTATAAATAAAATTATAGATTCTTATAGAAAAGTTGTAGTTAATATTTTATTTAGTTAGCTCACAAGAGTGACCAAAGGTAATGAGGATTACAACCAACGTGATCGTCAAAGCCTATTTACAACAAAATTAAGAGATATTCCAGCAAATGCATCAGAGGTATTACTCTTATGCTGTTTAAGAAGCAAAGGAGCAAAGTCAGTATATATACCATCCAACAGAAATGGTAATCAGAGAAGGTCAGCAACA